AAATTTAATTTTAAAAAAAGGCTAAAGTATGATGAAAATAGAGTAAGAACCAAGGTTACTCCACAACACAGGTGGATGCTTGAGTGTTTTCGACTATCTTATCACAAGCTAACCTTCCAAGTATTCTTGTCTATTAAAAACTTAATAGTACCCATGCCTCTCTCCTTGTATCAATTCCCAACAACTTCTCCTCCACTATCATGGTCATCACCTCGAAAGGAGTAAAATGCAACTTCTGAGAAATGGATAATATATTCTAAATTCATGAATTGATTATTACAATGGAGAGGAAATATAAAAAAACACTTGAGACAAAAAGAACTACAACAATGAGAGGAGGGGAGAGAGAGGAGTCGAAACAAAACAAAATATGGAACAAAAATCAGAAACCTATAGGCTAAATGAACATGTCATCTCCTTTTCACCATCCATGGATTCGAAGACAGTGTTCTATATTTGGATCCGTAGCTCCCTCCTATCCTCTTCATTAAGGCATTGAAAAGTTAGGATGTTGATATATAAATATTCAAGATAGAGATGATGATAAGCCAATGAGGTAAAGCAACCAATGGAAACTAACTCTATAACATGCATAGCATCTCGTGCTCCTTCTAAATAGGCCTATCTACCCTACCTAGTGATTAACTCATTCAATCACAATGATAATGGAATATCAAGAAAAAAAAATGAAAAGCATTCAATTAATTAACTCAAACACGAGCAAGGCTAACCTGTCCTAATTGAAAATGAAGCAACAAAGCTTTTATTGTCATCTTCCTAGCTACATGTAAAAATGGAGCCTCGTGGCCACCACCATGGAGAATAATAAAATAAGACTTCTAATGTAATCTTGTGCCAGTGGTTTGTAGTAGATAGCCCCATCGTCTTCATCGTCCATGAGAAAGAGGAAAAGGAGGAGTATGCACAGCAACATTAATGGGTATTTAAATGATTGTAATAATTGAATAACTGTCATATCCCCCCATAACCATCCCCTACCATGCACAAACATGAGACGCACACTGGTTGCTTCCTCCTGAAATCCATATACCTTGTGGAGTTAAGATTGAATTGGGTATTTAATATAAAACATAAAATATGTTGATTATCAAAATGGTAATTAGGAAATTCAGTATTTAAGATCATTACTAATAGACAAATATTGTATAACATATAAAATAGGTTCACTATTCTATATATTAAGAAATTGAGTAGTTCCTATTGTTAAATTTTCATAATAGTAATAAACAAAATATCTCAACTAATATATTTAAGCTTATATTTCTTTTTTTTATTAAGCTAATTCATAAAAGACATTGACTGCTTTTCTAAAAATTAGTGTTTTATTTTATTTTAAAATAAATTTTAATTCTAAATATCAAAAGTAAAATAATTTTCCATTTGAATTAGATTTTAGAATAATTTATAAACAAAAAATAATAAATATTTTAGGTATAAACAATAGTTTAGATTTAAGGCATATGATACTATTTTCAGTACATTAATAGATTGACCGAAATTAAATTTCAAGCATAATTAATTTTAAAAAATACTATCAAATTAATACAAATTTCAAATTTTGAACATATATCATGGCCAGCATATATGCCATGATTTTCAGGATTAGAGAAGTTATATAATTTTATTTATTTTTCTCAATTTAAAATATTTGAAGAGAAAGGATATTTTGGTTTGTACAAATTAAAAATAGAAAAAATAAGGCTCATTATTGGGGATAACTGCAATAAATTCGGTAACAATTCAGAATTAATTGAATTAATCAAAAAAATTATTAAAAAAAATAGATTTATCTCCCATTAGAAACATGGGTAGAAAATGGGTGAAAAATGTGGCCTTTTTTTTTAAGAAAAAAAGAACATTTATCTACTCATAGGTGAGTCACGTGTCGTGCTGCCAATAACTCTTGCTTTGTATTCTACTTTTATATATTAATAGATTTAATTAATTTCACTGCCCGCCATGCCACATTGTATTTTTTGGTTAAATATAGGTATTTTTTTATTGAAGGTAATCTATTTGAGATACTGTTAGGTACTAAATATAAACACATTCTTTAGCGGAGATTATATATAGTCTAATCAAATATTGGTTAAACATTCTAAAAAACTAAATCGCAAGTAGAAATATTTACAAATCAAAATCATCTGAAAGGATCAAGCAATATATAAACATATGTCGACCGTGGATTATATACAGTCTAACCATATAGCAATGCGGGTCCTGCAAAATAAAACTATCCATATTTCTTGTAATTCTGATTTCACTGTGATGATGCATTGATAGATGCAGGCCTTCCCTCATAGCCAACCCAGTACCTATATTACAGAAAAAGTGTAATGCACCCCTCATTACCTGTATGTGTTTTGTGATTGTAGCTGCTGTAAGAAAATTAGAGGAAAAAACTGACATTCTTAAATGACTTGATCAGTAGTGCATTAAAATTCTATTTGAAACCATTTTTCATTATTGGAGATCAACATCAATTGTGGTTGCACTCTACAAAAACCAAAACACACACACGCACACAAGATTCACCCGAGCTAAGATACTCAACAAAAAGCGGAGAGAGAGACATCAGCGAGAGTGCCTCTATCTCTCCATGTCCCATATCACCAAAATTGCTCTCAACAAAACACCACAGTCGTAAATCAACACTTTTCAAACTAAAATAGCTCTCAACAAACTCATTGCAATATCCTTGGGGAAAGATCAATTGGATGTACCAATTTTTGTGCGTAGAGAGACTTGCACGGAGAAAATCAAAAGAACAGAAATGGGATAAAGAGTTTTACTGACAATATTGACTTTGGGGGGGGGGGGAATCCAGTTCAACCTTTTCTTTCTTCTCCTCAAATATGACCCAATCATCCATTCTCTCCTTAACCATGCAGCCGACGAGTCCAAGCCACAAGATATTCATGAGGAGGGGGACATGAATGGTATTGTTGCCATTGAGCAATAGGGAGGCAATTACACCAAGAAAGATAAAGACACCTAAGATCTAGGAAGCTTTGATGCTTGGGTGAAAGAAGAGGGAAACACCAAGTACAGTGGAACGCTTACGTCAGCGTCGTGCAACCGGACTGCTCTGTTGTTGCAAGATTAGAGCTTCCCAACGGTAGGTGAATGAACCTCCAAGACAAAGCGAGAAGGTTGGAAGCTGATGTCAACCACGCCTTCAAAAGGTGAGAAAAGAGAAGCTTTCTCTGATAGTTTCAAATTGCTGTAAACCATCTTTAGTGTCAAGCAATACAAACCCCTATCGATATAATGCTTGCCACTGTCCCTAGTGATATAAGAAGTCTGAGTCCATCCCAAAATTGGCGTCGGTAAAGAATGATATGCGTGCCACGATCACTTAAAGGGGAAAAATACTGCACATTGTCTACATTAGAAAGGGTAACTGCTACAATGAAAACATGGGTAACCGTCAGAAGCACTCACATATCGAACTATTAGGAACGTGGGTAGGAACATGGGTAAAAAATGTGGCATTTCTTTTTTTGAAAAAAAGAAACATTTATCTAATCTTAGGTGATGCCATGTGTCATGTTGTCAGCAACTCTTGCTTTGTACTCTACTTTTATATATTAATAGATTAATAGAATAGATTATGAATACAAAGTGAAAAGAATTACTGTTCTAGGCAAAACACGTTATTCCCTCCAATCCTTAATATAAGCATTAGATAAATAATTTAGAGATATTAAGAGATTAGGTAATTATCTATAGTAAATGTGCATTAATTTTCTCAGATTATTTTTTCTAGTTATGTGTATTTTAACCACCTCTTAATAAAAACTTGTTTACCATGTGCAATTAATAGAGAGGCTTTAAGGAAAAATAATAATAAATTTTAAAAACAGTATATTCAGATTTTATATTCAAGATTAAAATAAAAATTTTCTCTTACTCCTATGTTTAGAATCAGAGATGGGATATTATAAAATATGCATAATGCCTTTCTAACAAGTAACAGACAGTCAGTAACATTGATTCCGAAGACACGCCTCCAAAGTTGCAGGATTTCCGTGCAGAGCTTGTTGGACTTTATCATCTTTTGAAATGGTAATTGCTGCCACAGTAATGTCAACCCCAACATGTTTCAGATTGGATGCTTTTATGACAAACATCCAGATTTACCAAAAGAATGTGAAGGTGACAATAAGATACTGGGAACATCAAGGATTTGGTGCGAAGGTTGCAAAGCAATAGAGATGAAATATAATAAAATCCTTCTTGATAAAAAAAAAAATGATGGGCAAATTACCGAGTCTAACAGAAGAAAAAGTTCATCATGCTGAAATGATTGGGATACAACAACAGAGAATGGTAAACATAAAAAGAAGACATAATATTTCCGTTCTTTAATGTAAGAGTTTAGATTAATAATTTAAAAATACTAAGAAAATTAACTAAATTAATTATTTATAGCAAATGTGCATTAGCTATCCTAAATTACCCATTCTGATCATATATATTGAAACAACCCTTAGCGAAAACCTTTACAATCAATAAAAACATTTGAAAAAAAAATCATAAATTTAATATTTAAAACCAAATCCAATCCCTAACCAACTCTCTTGTATTAAAGGCTAAAGGTAATAGCTCATAGTACCTCCCAATTTGCAGATTTATTTAGCCCTTTTAGCCCTCAATTATTTGATGAAACTTTGAGCTATGTTAGGAAACATTGATAATTAATGTTTTTCCTTAGCCTCTGGCATCCATCCTCTTTGGGATGCTATTGGTGAACAAATTTATGGCATGGTGGGAGAGGAATCTTCAAGAAGCATTATTTGGATAAATCTGATTCTAATGCCTAAAGTCAAGATGCCAGAGGCTATATGCTCAACACATTGATGCTCAAAAAACATCACACACAAACACATACTCACAACTCTCCAAGCTCAAAAAGTCCATTTCAGCTCCAGTAGAAGTAAAACAAGCCGAATCTATACACAATGGCACATTCAACAGAGATCCCAACAAAATCTAATTATATATATAATATCAAAACTCTAACAAGTCACACTATTCACGAGTCATGTTCTCAAACTCCATGGGCTAGTGGGTTGCTAAAATGGGAAGCTTAAACAACAATGACACATAGACAAAGCCAGTGATTATAACAGCACAATAAACAAAGTTTCTAGTATGGTCATAGTTTGGCAACAAGACACACAGATCCAATGTGATCAGAAGACAATATAAAAGAGATATTTTTCAAATGTCTGTGTGTTCTTAGTTTCCTTTACTCCACACGCCTCATTTTGCTAGATCAGAGAGCAAATCAGTCACCACCCACTTGCTTCTTCCAGGAGTCTTCCACAATCAGTTCATCAACTCCCCAATCTTCATAGCTGACAATTTCACAAACAAAACACATAAGATTGGCATAAAGGGATAGCTTCAATCTCTTTCTGCCTTTTCTCAGACCAGAGAAAGCCCTAACTTCCATATCACATGGTACCTACCTTCCATCAGGCAAGTAACGGCGGATGGTAAATGGAATCTTCCGCTCTCTAAGCTCCTTCAAAGCAATCTAAACAGTTTGGAGAAAATACATTTGATCTTTAGTAGTTCTGAAATGAAAAGCAAGCTATTGCACTAAAAAAAAAAAAAAAGAAGAAGAGAGAGAGAGAGAGATCAAAAAATGTCAATAGAAATACAGGATTGACTCTGGAATTCAATGATATTTCTTCAGTTTTAACAAGCATCCCATCGACCCCAAATAAAATGTATATTAAAACTGAAGAAATATCATTGAATTCCAGAGTCAATCCTGAAAACTGAAGGGTGTACCAGACAAGATTCAGATGAATTTTTACCATTGAAAACCGACAGAACAATACAAAGCATGTTGTTCAGCCCAAATATAGAAGCAGGAATCAAACAACAATTTACCTTTGATAGTAGCAAGCTATCAAACTTCAGAGCCAATCCATACAATTGAGGGGTGTACAAGACCAAATTCTCATAAATTTTTACGATTCAAAAACTGACATGGTACGTTTTATAGTGCCAAGATGGAATGCGAAGGCATATCATTCAATCAAGCTAAAGAAACTTAAACATTCAGTTAGATTTCACGTTAATATGTTACACTGCTCATCCAAGAGACTGATTCTTTATTCAAGGTTTAACTAGATAATACCATCTCAAACGGAAAATAAGATTCATGCAACATCATGTAATAGAAATCTGAAATGCAAGTGACAGAAATTGTCGAAGTGAACAGCTAACTATTTCAGACTTTGAACTTGGACGTTCAAAGACGGAAAGACCTGAACCTATTCTTTATAAAGCAAGTAGGAGGTGAACAATGGCCATGAAACTTTTAACAATCAGTAATAAAATACACAGTATAAGCAAGGACTACTGTTAACCAAGACCGAATGTAAGATAAACCTGTGAATGAAGAAAACTGATCTTCCCACATTATTTTTCATAATATTTAAAAAAAATGTAAAGGGACCATGAAAGACGATCCCACGCTTTAAATATATATTCATTCAATTTGTTCAAAGTACAGAACAAGTAGAACATACATATGAACAATAACAATATTCCCCACATCAGAAGTACACATATCAAATTACCCAGCTCCATTGCGGGGAAAATGATATCTAACCTCCCTGGGTATCAAGGACTAACTGAATGAAAAATGATGAGAGAACGCTAACATTTAATGTTCAAGGCATGCTGAAATGCATTAACATTGAAACAAAAGTGTGCATGTATAAGAATGCACAAAAGTAATAACTCATTAAAAGATAGCATTTAGTATTACCTCCAAAGGGTCAGTCTCCCCCTCCAACTCCACCATGACAGGTGCATTCATACTAGTCAAGCAAGCGGAAAACATGACATAAATACATGCACAAAGATATGATTAACAGAATATTGATTCAATAAAGTTCAAAAAAGAACCTGATTTGCAGAGCACGGGTACCCAATATCCGGGCACGCTCATATTTTGTCATATATTTGGACGTCTTCCTAGGCCTTTCTGCAGCTTCTTGTTCTTCCTTATCTTCAGTTTCAAGTGGTTCTCCAGTCACGTCATCATTGTTATTGTTTTCCACATCCTCCTCTACACCTTCCTGTCCACCATCCAATAAACCAGTGAGTTCAATAGGAAAGCACTCAATAAAAGCTTCCATAAGATTTATGAGAGAGACTAAGGTAAGAGAAAAAGAAAGCCTACTTCAATCTCAGGCTCTGGAGGTTCATCTTCATATCTGCATCAACATTCACCCTCAATGAGACCCGTTCAATAATGAAAGACTACAAAACATAGCTCTAAAACGTGTATAGTTGACACTGCATAAGCATAATGTGAATTTACATAACCAAAGGGCATATAGTTATTACAGAACGCAGGTAAACCAAATCGGAGGAGAGTCGGAAAAAGTTTCAATCTTTGCAAAACCGAAAAATTAAGATATCAAGGTTAGCAAAAAAATATCAATTTCAACTAAAATAATGTATTGTGAGTTGCTTAATTCGTAGAAAAGTTTTCCACTTGTATAAACTGAATGGGAAATAAAAAACCCTAGTTTTATTCATATGTTTGTGTGTAATAGAGGATGAAGAAAGAGAACCCCATATCCATGTCATTGTAGTCGTCGTCTGCCATTGTGTATTACCAACGGTCCCCCCTGCCTCCGGCGCGTCCCCTAAACCCTCACGGGAGGCTTCGAAGTATCAACTGCCCAAAGTTTTTTCCGACCTCGCCGAAACAGCAAAAGCGTACGCACACCTGTATACATATATCAATATAAAATATTTATTTACATGTGAGGTGTGATGGGTTGGGCTATTTATTTATGTTTTTTTAAACCAACATCATGGGTTGGGCTCTGAACAAAGAATGATCACCCTTGTGTTGGGCACAAAAGAGAGGCAAAGCCCAGCCAGCCACTAACTAATAAGGGGGGGATTCTTTTTCCATTGGCAAGAATAAGAGGGAAATTCAACCCCACGCAATCTTCATCAATAAGAACTCTAATTCAAAACACTATCAGATACTAAATATGAATATCTCTCTTAACAGAGAGAGAGAACATGCCAACTTCAAGCCTATTACGAGTCTTCAGTTTCACACTGACCCACTCTTTTTACATCAAATTGGATTTATTCTTCTATTGCAGGTTCATTTGCCCATACTTCATCCTTAAATTAGATCTTGCACTGGGCTTTCTACTTTCCAATAGACATATGTCATGTTTGGGCTTCTTGTCTTAGATAACTGGGAGTTGGGTTAACAACTTAACTGCTATCTAGAATGTCAGTTGGACTGAGTACATGTCATAATTAGTGTGGCATCTATTCAAAGAAAAAGTTATAAAAAAGATAACCTAAAATAGCCGAACAAGACCATGAAGTTGCTAATGAGAAAAATTGGGCAAAATAGTCTTTTTAGTAAATGATATGTTTGAAGAGTTTAGTTGTTGATAAACGATAATGATATCACCCTATACATATAGCCGGCGTCAAGAAAAATTATTGTAACCTTTGAAAAGTAGCTGTTTGACCATTGTAAAAAAAATGATCACCTATCTTGTTAACCAATATTATAGGTTGATTCTTAAAAATTTTCATATTAGTCAATACTCCTCTGGTCCTTAATATAGGACTCAATTGTTGAGTTAATTTTAGTCCTAAATATAAGACCCATTTCTTATATTTATCAAGTTTCTCTAAATTACCCATGTGAATACTCCCTTAACCATAATCAAGTACAAGAGAAAGATGGACTATTAAGAAAGATGATTATGGTATTTTAGAAAAAAACATATCACATTTCTTATAATTAACTAACTTACCTAATTTCCTTAATCTAATCAAATTAGTTAAATGGATTTTATATTAAGGATCGGAGAAGTATTTGTTAATATAAACATTAAATTAGATCCTATGGCCATGTTAATCTAGGTTTAATTGTGAACCATCCATATTTTATGAAATAATATTTTTATATTTTCTATTTTTTAATATAAGGAGTAGGCTTCATTTTTTTTTCCTATCATACCCATGTGGGATTGAGTATGCAACCTTAGACCTACATAAGATTTAAAAAACGAGTTAAATGTCAATTGAGTTAAAAAGCTCCGACAAGGAGTGCACTTCATCAGCGACAAAGACTAATTTTCTGAATACATAACTATCAATTATAAAAATCGAAATAAAAAATTTGGATTAATATCCCTAACGCATTTTTGGTCTTCCAATTTTTCACAAAATTTAAGTTTTTTTTTAATTTTATAAATTTTTTTAGTTCTCTAACCCTAAATCATTAGTCTCATTAACAAAAATAATAATATTGTTAATTTAAATGCCAAATTTTTTTAATACTAATATTTAATTTTAATTTTAGAAAATAAAAAATCGGATTGAAAAAATTATCATTGGAGAATTTTTTTGGTTATCATTCTAAATTGCACTTTCATAATTTTTGTTAGGGTTAAGATAGTCTTTGATCCCTCAAATTTACTCTTATTTTGATTTTCGTTCTTCAACTTTCAAACTAGAGGTTTTGATCTCTCAAGGAATAAAATATTCAAGTTTTTTTTAAAATCATAGGAATAATGTTTTAGAAAAAAAAAACTTGAAGAACCAAACCAAAATAAAATAAATATAAGGGACAAAAAATTATACTAACTTTTTTGTTAATAAAATAATGATGTGAAAAGACATTTTATAAAATTAACGGTTAAGGACCACAAGGGCGTTTTTGCTCCTTGTAAAGCCATACAAAGCATTAATGCAATGGATAAGTAAACAAATTTGAAAAAAAAATTTTAAATTTTGGGTTTACAATCGCTAAGTTAAATTTTAAGCTATGAACACTAATTTGCTTTAAGTTGAACACACTAAAGAAAGTAAAATTCAATTACATATAATTAACAAGACAATAATCTGATACAGCCAAAGGTAAAATCAGATCCTCAAATGTTCTCAAACCAAACTGTGAGGAAAGCGACAAAAGCAAACAGAAAGAAAGCAGTCTGAACAGTAATGAAGATTATTCTGTACTTGAGGAAGCAAAGTTACAAGATATCCCCCGCATGAAGAGGAATCTAAGTCTGACACAGTACAAAAAGGTGTTTTCCAAGATATCCCATCAAAGCCTTATCTTCATTTTCTCTTTTGAGACTGTATAGTTACTTGAGAGAATTCAGATTTACTAAAACATTTCCATCCTGTGAGGAACAGGAGTTTTGATAACCTGCAGAATTTGAACTACTTCTGCCATGGAAGGCCTGCTTGAAGGTATCTGTGAAGTGCATACCAATGCAAGCTTCAGAACCGGGAGAACCTCGTCTTCAGGATACTCACTCATGCTTGGATCCACACATTCCAACACATTTCCTTCCTCAAGCATCACTCTGACATGGTCATTCAGTATCACAACATTGTCTTCTCCGTATTCAACCGGTCTCCTTCCTGTCACAACCTCAAGAATCATCACCCCAAAGCCATAGATATCACACTTCTCATTCACCCTCAAGCTCTGGCATGCCAATTCTGGTGCTACATATCCTAATGCACTCTGAAACCTATTGCTCATCACATGCCTGTCTAGCTTTGTCAAAAGCCGGGCCAACCCAAAATCTGAGATCTTTGGATTGCAGTTCTCGTCAAGTAAAATGTTGCTCGGCTTCAAGTCGTAGTGAATGATTGGGGGCCGGAATGAATGGTGTAAGTGAGCAAGGCCTTTTGCTGTTCCAAGCAAAATTTTGAACCTGTTGGGCCACGAAAGAGGTGGAGATGAAGGAAGCCGGTCGTGTAGCTTGGCTTGCAAGCTACCATTTGGTGCATATTCTGTGACCAAGAGTTGCAGTTGAGGAGTCCAATAGTATCCTTTCAATGCTATTAAATTAGGGTGCCTTGCTTTCCCTAAGATTCTTACTTCCCTATCAAAGTCTTCTGGGTATTGGACTATGTTTGAAGTCACAAGCCTCTTGATTGCCACCATCCTACCTTGTGATCCCAAAGGAACCTTGTAAACTGTTCCAAACACTCCATCTCCCAGCTCGGATGCTTTGTTCAGCAAGTTTTCTGGGCTGCTGATTGAATCAAGTGAGGACCGGCCTGAATCGAACAGAATGAGCTTTCCTGTGGGTGGAGTTCCTGATCTTGAAGAGGTTGAACACATGCTTTCCAAAGCATTATCCAGTCTTCTCCTTACAGAAACATTCAAAAGGCTTATAGCAATGACACCCAATATGATCAAAAATGCTGCAGAAATAGCAATAATAACAGAAACACTCAAGAACCGGTGGCGATGGATGATGCCCGGCGTACTTGTGGATGATTCATTTCTTGGCCTACCCATTTGGTTGTTATAGGCATTTGGGTCAAGAACCAGTGGCTTTGGCACATTCATCTTACATGGCCCTTTCAGTAAGGGTGAACAAAGACCCAAGTTTCCTTCTAGGGAACTTTTATCTAAGTTTTGAAATATGCTACCACTAGGAAGCCTGCCTGTGAGTCTGTTGTATGATATATTCACAGCAAGAAGATTCTGCAGCATTCCAAGCTCCTGTGGTATCTCTCCACTCAGTTCATTGAATTCCAATTTCAGAACTTTGAGCTCTTTAAGCTTTGACATGGACTTGGGAATTGAACCACTCAAATTATTGTGACACAAGCTCCTGCAAAGTTTTAAGAATCAAAGTGGAACTTAGTTGAATACACGGTATTTTCTCACTAAACCAGTTATTGCATTACAGTGTTGGGATGTATTTAACATGTTATTCTAACTGCACTTTTAATGATCTTAGCTACGCATTAAGTTCCTTCCAACACGAAAAAATGTACTGCAGACTACAAACTGATGTTCATGTTATGTTTAAAGAACAAACTTGTTAGTTCACAACAAAACTCTCAGTACTTGAGAAATGGGAAACTTACAGCAAGTAAAGAGATGTGCAATTTCCAATCTCATCTGGGATGGCACCATCTAATGAGTTTCCATCCAGTTGAAGAATAGCCAAATTGCCTGAATCACATAAATCCTCTGGAATAGAACCATATAGTGAATTGCTCTGAAGATCTAAAACTGTCAGATTCTGAAGCATACCCAACTCTGGGGGCATTCGGGAGTGAAAATCATTCCAAGATAGATTCAAATATTTTAGTTTAGAAGCATGAATCATTTCTTCAGGGATTTCACCCTTCAGCCCATTATGAGACAGGTCTATTTCCTCTAATGATTGCAGGCCAAACAGTCCCTCCGGTGTGCTACCGTTGAACCCATTACCTCTGAGATGAATGGATGATAACTCAGTACATGAAACCAATGATGATGGGATGTTTCCCATAAGATTGTTATTTGAGAGACTGAGATATCTCAGTGATCTCAAATCGCCGATTGAATCTGGGATGGTTCCGAAGAACTGATTGCCTGAGAGATCAAGGTATTCCAGACTTGCCATATTACCAATCCACTGAGGGATTTCACTGGTTAACAAATTATTTGATGCCTTGAAAAAGTTCAAAAAATTAAGTCTCCCAAGTGACTCTGGAAGTGCCTCGTTGAACAGATTATCACTAAAATCCAACCTATTCAAATGCAAGCACAGTCCAATATCAGAAGGTAATGATCCTGAGAAGTGATTACTCTCTAGCAGCATCTCTTTCAAGTTATGTATGGCTGATATTCCAGGAGGCAAATTTCCAGATAAGGCATTATTTGACAGATCCAGAGTCCTAAGCCTTGTCAAAGACCAA